GGTCATCGCCTTAAAGCTTCTCCTCAAATTTTCGATATATTTTGGTTTTAAATATTTTTCGGCGGTTTCCCGGCTTTTGAATATTTTTCGGCACATTTGGGACGTTTTAGAAATTTTATTGCCCGACCAGGGGAAGAGGCTTCAACGGGGTGGAGGGAAGGGATGCTGATCGTGTCTTTCGGGACTCGCGAGCTTTTAGCGAGCCGAGGCACTCTTACCCGAAGTTCGTGTTCGTTCGTAATTGGGGCCAGCGAGACTTTTTCATTCGGTACCGTCTTTTTGCGGGGGCTTCCATGCGAGCTTGGGGGCTTTCATGCGAGCTTTGCATGCATTTCGCAACGCCGACGCGGAGCGAGTCCCGAGCCCCCGACGGAGGAGGGCAACTCATGACTTTGAAAGGCCAATGCGTTGTTGTGATTTACGATTACGGTAAACTTAGAGAGGCGAGGCAGAGTGCAAGGGAGAGCAGCGCAGCGGGTGGATTTCGAAGGCCAGACCCTCAGCCTTCCACCTCACCCACCACTTCCAGTCCTCTCCTGATGTTTCTTCGTGCGGACAAAGCGACTTCGTTTCGTTTGGCTCAGAGTGCTCACAATCGAATACGAAGCTGCCCACTGCGAGCATCAGACGGAAAGCATGAATCAGAGAGGCGGCGCTCCTATCTCATCATATTCCCTCCCCCCCTGACTTGGCAGTGAGGTTATCGAGCGACTGACAGGCCCCTATTTGAGCCTCGACGCTCGGAATCAGGGCTCTGTAAACGAAGAGAAACCCCCAGCGAATCAGATACATGGGCACCCAGTGTATGAACCCGAGGTATTTTGCAGATCTTTTGGCCGTTCGTGGGCGCTCCGGATCATTGAAGTCGACATAGGTCAGACCGAAGCTGAAGGGGAGGAGGAACACGAGGTGGCATCTTCCCGCTGTGGCTTTTTCCATGATGTGTGTACCGTTCATCAAATCCTTCCGCCCATTCGAAGTTGTCCATTAGAGACCAGGCGAAGTATCCCGCGACCGGCACGCTGCCTTCCAGCATGGCCTTGGCCATCTCCTTCAGGTACTCCTGGTAGTACCAGACTCTGAAACAAGTCCAACGGAGTCCGAATAGGATCGGCCTTCGTGTCCGACCTGTTCTGATCGTCAATTAGAGAAGCAGTGTCGTTGCTATCCTCATCAGACATGCCTGCGATGGAGGAAGGCACACGTGTTAGTGTCTCTCACACCCACTATCCAGCGCTGACCGACCGTTTTCGGTGACAATGATGCTCTTGGGTTTCCACCTTTGGTTAACGTATTTGAGAAGCCTGCTAAATCCCCATGGGACGATATACAGCCAACTGGATGCCGCCTGCGGACCAATCGGGACACTTCGGCGCATTGTCATTTTGCGGTAGCCACCCTCTGCTGTGGCCTTGACGTAGCTGCAAATATCATGCACACGGCACAATGCGGTCAAGCCGGTCTCTGTCTGAATGTGTCTCCCTGTCTGTACGTGTCTTACCGAGTCGTATAGTGGTTGAGTCCGAAGAAGTCTGCCGAGCCCTTCACGGCGGCTTTCTCCTTCTCTGTGAAGAGAGGCATGTCATCACCATAGTGAGCCTTCAGAGACTCGGGATAGTCGCCAGTGCCGTATATCTTAATTGACGTGTGGACCAGGGCCACACGCAACACAGGAGTGGCGTGCTGCCCTCTTCGTCTGTCTGCCTACCCACCGGGTCGGCGAACCATCCAACTTGCAGGTCCGTTAACGCCCGAGCGGCATCCAGGTCGTCGGGGTCGTTGCCATCAAAGGGCACGTACCACTCGGAGTTAAGGGTGATGCCCACCATGGCATCTGGCCGCTCCTTTTCGTACAGTTCCTTCCAGATGGAATAAGCCTGCATACACACTCATTGAACTCCAAAGGATAAGGGTGCTTCCCTCAACCCTGTCCCATCGGCACCTTTGCGTGTGACTTGAGGACATTGTGGCCACACTTGAGGTGGTCAGCTGCAGACTTGACCCCAGGGGCGTCTAGAAGCGAACATCACAGCTTCACCATTGTTTCTTGCTTGCTATTGTTCTGAGTACGGTTGCCTAGATGATATCCAAACTTGCAGAATATATAGGGCTCATTGAACTAGAGTGACACACATTGCCGACACAATCCCTTCCTATGGGTGTGTATCCGTCTGGCTGGACTGTGCGAGGCTAACTTACGGTGATCCAGAATTTGACGCCCTGCAACTCATCGAACATCAGGTTCGCAAACTCGCCAAAAGCCTCCATGACGGTTTCGTTCCGCCAGTCGTAAATGCTGGTCAAACAAACAGCACACAAGGCAGCAATCATTGTTGTACTCAGCTGAAGCGGCTGGCGTGGCCATTGTGGGCTGGCCCTCTACTCTGGCAGATCCCAATGGTACAACGTCACGACTGGTTCGATGCCGTTCTCTATGAGAAGTGCCGTTAAGTTACGGTAGAATTGAATTCCTGTGCATAGAGACCAGGCAGACTGACTCCTTTCATACACGCAGAAAAGCGCAATTAGCATGGCGTCTACTACTGTTCCTACCCTCCTCATTGATTTCAGTTCCGTTCATGACTCGTGGCCAGCTGATGGAGTAGCGGAAGTGGGTGAAATTTAGGTCCTTCATCAGCTTGATGTCGTCCTTGTACTAGATTGCACATTGCGCACGTTCAACAAGCGTGACTCTGACTTTACTTGCACACTTACCTTATGGTAAAAGTCGCAGGCTACATCACCCTGAAAACAGCAAGGAAGTGCGGCATGTCTCTGCTTCCTCCCCCTCACATTGTCATCATTTCTGATCTTTCTGAGGCCCTTGGCTGCGCTCGTGTGCGTGAAAGTGTCCCAGTGACTCGGCACTCGTCCGCCTTCATTCCAACCTCCCTCCACCTGCACACACAATGGGCGTCTCGCCAGCAATATGGCGATACACACTAGCGGGCACTTGGTAGGCGGCCGTAGCAGTGCCCCACATGAACGGCTTCGTGAGAATCTTGTCATTTCTCAGCTTGGTAATCGCCTCGGCCAGTTTGCTGGAAACACTTTCTTCAAAATCCTCACTTGGACAAGATATGGCATGGGCAGACAGCAAGCAGACGACGATGCACAGAGAAAGCATCCCCGAGAATACAGAAAATGAACACAGGATCTCGTTAGGGAGAATAATGAGCACCCTCCAGACACTGTTATGCTTACGACGATCAAAAGCGATCAAAAAATGTAAGCGATCCCTCCGTACTTGAATATCTGTCGCATTACACGAAGAGAGGACAGGCCTGTCCAGGTGGACACCATGGACACTCAGGTGGCCTGTAAGTCTGTCCGCCATTTGACGCACACGTGTGTGCCCAGGTGACACTATTTCACGGGACTGGCATGTTGTCTGGACTCGAGATTCGTGAATAACCTGGACAGTGACTTTTGACACCGAACATGAATGCACACACTGCACGAGGGCTCCCTCCTTGGTTGGTGTGGTTGGTGTTCGGTTGATTGGCGTCCTGTCGCGACGCGTGTCTGTCGCTCGCTTGGTGCGACTGTGTTGTCAGTGATGTGTCGCTTGTGCTTACCCTCGCTTAAGGTTCTCGCACTATGAAGTCAGTGCGTAAGCTTGATGCTCACCTGAGTCACTTGGACGCAATGTGGGGGTGATGTCTCTCTTTGTTGATGCTGAGGTTGCTTGTGCACGCCTCTTCAGTGAAAGCTGCCACACAGGGTGGCGGGGGATGCACACACATTAACGATTATGTCCATCATATGCAAAGAAAACGAGAAATCTGTCAAAGTCAACGGTTCTGTCAAGTTTGTCGAAAAAATCTGATTTGAAGAAGCAATAGCGACAGGACGGCCAAGTCTTTCGAAAGTCTTTCGCCCTCGATCCTAAATGCCCTCGATCCTAAATGCCCTCGATCCTGAATCTAGCTCGCAAAAGCTCGCACTATGCTTCACCGGCTAGGGTGCTGCATGAAACCGCTGCTGCTTCACCGGCGGAAGGCGCCCTTTGTTCTCGTGGTAGTCTGGGCCGCTCGTGTTAGCTGCGCCTTGCCATGTCTTCCTCCGGCCATCCATCTGTCGTGTGCTTCCCAGAATCGTGCCCGTCCGCATGTGCCGACTTTCCATGTATCATCTGCTTTCTACCTACACAGATACACTACACTGAACAGATACACTACACTCACAGATACACTACACTCAACAGATACACTACACTCAACATGTAATCCATCCATAGTACTCATGTCGTTACTTGCACCGTCGCCACACTACAAATTCGGCTCAGACGTCTCTCGTTCGCATGGGTGGCACAGCCACACACACACACACGTCCACAGCTCATTTCGACCGGATTTCTGTGTGTCTGGTGCCGGACGAGGTCGGTGCTGCTAGAACACCTCCCTCCCTTTTTCAGCGAAGCGTATGATTCTCCTGAGAACTTCACTGAGAATGAGCCGGAGACGGGAACAAATGGTGCTTGAATTCAGTCTCTTGTTCGGCTCAAAATGCCAGCTCGTAACAACACGGTTCGTGTCCTATGTCCAGATGGGGAGATGAAGGGCCATGTCAGTTGCAAATCACGTGCCTGCGCCGTGCATGACTCAAACCTAAATAGCCCCTGTACCTCAAGGCCTCCCCGGCGACCCCAATAATCGATAGCTATTCCAGCTACTGCCAAACACTGGCTCAGTGAGGGGGCGGCGATGTGGGGACAGAACGGCGGCCAAGTGCAAGCGTAAGCAAATACCTCCACAGACGGGACATTCGCGAATCGACGACGTGGAGGTATACACGGGACATTGTAACAACACCATGTAACGGATCGACGACGCTGTCAGCCGCATCCTCAGCTTATTCTTATGCGATTGAAGAGGATTAGCTGATTCTTCGATCTGGTGCCACAAGAAAACGGATGTTACCATTCGAAGTCAGCGGTCTACGGTCGCCCTCAGCTGGTGCCCCTCATCGAGGGCGACCAAGCGACGGAGCTGGACATTAACAACGGTAGCTATGGCTTTTTTCGTCGAGCGTCCTTCCCTTCGGGCGTGTGGCAAGCCAGTGACCAATGGTGTACCGATGTCTGTACGTCGAGCTTGCAAAAGGCAGCCATCCACCGCTCACCGAGGGTGACGTAAAAGTTGTTACCCAGTCGACAGCGACAGTCAAGCCTCTTTCACCTATCTTCCCAAAGACAGCGACATTTGACATCAGCGCTCCGGCTAGCGCCATCCCCACTACAAACGATGAGCGTGTGGCGATGGTACCACCGTGGTACCACTACCAGCTGCCCATGGGGCCATCCTATGCTTTAACCATCTGGAAACCGCAAAGGGCAACCAAAAACCGGCTTATCATGGACTTTAACCCTGGGTGATCGGAGTGTGGAATTTTTGTGATGCTGTCTCGAGTGAAGTCCGAAGGGGTCGCTATCCTGCGGATGGTCGATGAGAAACATTTAATGGAGCCCTACAGCGATGACCTGCAGCGCGAGATGAAGCGGCTGAGGAGATACCAAAAAGCCACTAAGAGGCAGTACCGTCTCGATAGAATATATGCGAAAGACTGGTAGATGGAACCTCCCGCGAACGCGGGTCGACGAACGGGTACGAGGGGGTAGGGGCCCTCTCGTAACGGAAGGCGATCGGAAAGGGACACCTTGTAAAGGTCGAAAGGGTACACACTAGACCAGTGATCGTTAGTGGCCAGTGGTTGAGGTTTAGGGTATCCATCAAAAGGCAGATGAGCATCGTGTGAGGCGATTTGGCGGCCATTCTGAAGACCTGGGGAAGCCGAATGAAGAGGTGCTTGCTCGTGAACGACGATGGTGGCCGAGAAACCAAAAATCGGCTGCACTTGTGAAGAGAGGGCGCAGACAGCAAAGGGAGGTGGTGATGCGGACAACGCAAAGTCGCTCCCTCCCCCTTGAATGGGGGAGGGGGCTGCAAAAGGTCAGCTTCTATAAGCCAATGGTCAGAGGCAGAACAGAGCGCGTCGACGACAGACTGACTGAATGATGGCCGTCATGTAGGATTCCGACACACGAATGTACTCGTCTGAGCGCTCCTGTGTTTGCTTGACAGGTGTGTTGATGTTTCGTTTGGCCGCATTGCCGCCTTCTCTACTGCACGGTGAGCTGATGGCCGTCACGCAGGATTCCGGCACACAGATCTATTCGTCTGAGCGCTCCTGTGTTTGCCTGGCAGGTGTGTTGATGTTTCGTTTGGCCGCATTGCCGCCTTCTGTCACCGTGCTGATGGCCGGGACGCACTATTCCAGCTCATACACATATGCTCCCACATGTGTCCCACATGTGTGCTCCGGTATGCGGGTCTCGTCGCATTCACGTGTGTGCGCCATTGATCCGTGTATCCATAGCATCTGAACACAAAGCTTTTGTCGTGTCCATGCTTGTGTGTGTCCTTGCGTGTTTCATTGGTAATTAATACGTCGACGGATGGGAATGCAGTGAGTGTCCATATAGAGAAGAGAGCGGGTCAGCTAAATATGGGTTAGAAGGATAGAAGTGCGAGAGATGTCTGACTACTGCTGAAGGCCTGTTGGAGCCGGTCTGTCGGATAAATAGCGTGCTCAAGTTGCTCGTAGAGTAGTTGATGACCAAGGAGATGGAGTCAGAGCCTTTTCTTTTGGAAAGACCCAGTGTGTTCAACGCTATGGCGTTGGGGAAGTTGCTCCGTTTCACGAAGCAACCTAGCCCAGCCGGAATTCCGGCAGGCTCTGCTGCTCGTTTCCCGTAGCAGGCTCAGCTCGGTCCTTCGACACCCCCTCTCACTCAACACCCTCTACGAAGCCTAGAGTGATGCCATCTGGCAGATCTACATCAGACCTGCTGCCTCCCCTCATGTATCCATATCGGATTCCTCATCAGATTTCACATCCATCCATCCTCGTGAGTAGTGACAGATTGTCACTGGTGTGTGCTTGCCTGCAGGCAGGTTCTTGGTGAGCACATCTGCCACATTCTCAGCGGATGGGATCCAACCAACCTCCACCTCGCCCGCCTCGACCTTCTCACGCACCAGGTGATACGCGGATGGCCTTGGTCCTATCAGACATCTCTGTGTTGTAGGAGACTGACTGTGCTCCTCTGTTGTCCACCAGGATTGTCGTTCTCTCCGAGTCGGTGCTGAATGCCTGCTGCTGGGTATGAACAATCTCACGTGCACACTCGCCGCGACGATTGGCTGGTTCTTGCACCGCCAGGCGACGGGATTGCCGCAAAGGTAGATCACGTAGCCTCCCGTGCTCCTGTCATTCTCCAGGTCAGCATGGCTGGAATCAGCGTAGGCGAGGATCTTCACGCTCTCGTCTGCTGGTCTTCTGAAGGTCAACGCTCTTGTCGCTGTCTCCCTGAGGTACCGGATGATGTGCTTGACAGCTTCCCAATGGCGCTTGCCGGCACAGTTGTAGCACATGGCGCAGTCCTTGACTGCGTAGGCGATGTCGGGTCTGAGCGTCACTGTGGAGTACAGTAAGCTGCCGACGGCGTCGCGATATGGCACTTTGCTCATGTGGTCGTGCTGCTCCTTTGTTGTAGGTTCCATTGTTTTGGAGAGCTTGACATCAGACGGCAAGGTATCTGTCCCCTTCGATCACACATGTTGAACCTCTCGATGAGCTTCTGCACGTACTCCTCTTGTGAGAGTGCCAGGATGCGTTCTTTTCTTTCGTAGGTGACCTTCATGCCCAGGAACCTATCGGGATGTCCGAGGTCCTTGATGCCGAACTTGCCGGACATCGGCGTTAAGCCTCTCGGCCCACTGCAGGTGAGTAGAGCATGTCGTCCACAACAACCACCACCCATAGTCCCCTCTCGTCATGTGTGAAGATGCACGGGTCGACGTCGACGCTGCTCTGTGTGAATCCGATGCTTCTCAAGTAGTCGACCAGAGTCACGTGCTAGGCCCTCGGTGCTTCCTTGAGACCGTAGACAGCTTTCTTAAGCATCCACACCATGCCGGGCTTCTCGTATCCGTCAGGGCAGTTCATGAAGACACGTCGGTCTAGAGGGGAGTTGAGGAACGCCACATTAACATCGCATTGATACAGCGACTACCAGCTAAGAGAACCAACACAAGGAAGACACGCATAGCGACCTGCGACAGTGTGGGTGAGAAGGTCTGTGTGACTTCTTTTGGGTCTTGTGCGTATCCCTTGATCACGATACGTGCCTTGAAGACCCACTTGCTGGGCAGTATCTTCCTGCAGGTCATGGCCTCTTTGTGCGTTCGCGGCTCATCTCCAAGCAATGAAGAGATACACGCCGTCGTCATCATCTGTAGCGTAGGCAACCACTCTCTCGTTGGTTTTGCCAGATAGAAAGCACATGTCTCTGCCTTTGCGTCTTTGTTTGCGTCCAGGCCTTTGGTTCATGTGTCGACCGCTTCCTCAACAACACCGAAGAGGCACCAGATGCGCTCTCTGAGCACCGATCTCTCTGCCGTTCGCTTTCAGGGTCCGCATGGGCAGAAATGAAGTCGCGTTCAATTTGTGTGTTCCATTGGCGCTTACGACCAGATCTACGAGGACATTCTGGGTGTTTGTTGGTTAGATTTCCTTCCACATCAACAGCCAAGTCGTTGGTTCAAACCCGTGTGCATGCCCTCATCGTGCGCCTGACCGTCCATCTGCTCACTCTCATGACTCTCATGGGGATGTGGTGCTTGATCGAGTTCGTGTTCGTCAGCTCCCTGCATGAGTGGCCCTTCAGGGGCTAGTTGTGGCAGTTGTGGTGCGTCAAAGGCGTCTTCATCGATGGGCTGCTGGTCTTGCGGTTGAGCGTCTGGCGCTTCTTGGGCGTCTGGCGCTTCGTGACCGTCCTGCCCATGTGTGTCGCCATTTCCTTCCCCCTCTCGAACCGGTAGGAGGTATGGATTGACACCCTTCTGCAGATTGAACATATGTGCAAAGAAGGTGGCTATGTTTGTGACCTTTATTTGTCTTTTCGACGGTATCCAGAAGAGGTATCCGTCTTTTCATCTGTGAATGATAAGCAACGAAGATCGCTGCGTCACACTTGGGACTGAACTTCGTGGCTCGCTGATGCTTCCGCACAAACGGGTAGGCTAAACATCCAAACAAACACACGCAGTTTGCGCTGGTCAGGTTTGAACTTTTTTTACATCTCATATGGTGTTTTGTTCCCTTTGTTGCTTCTGCAGGGACAGCGATTGCGACTGCTTGCACAGCCCACGGCCAGAACCCCCTCGGCAGATTCGCCGTTACGAGCATCGATGTTGCCGTGTTGTTCAGCGTCTGTATCATCCTCTCAGCCACGCCATTAGCTGCTCATGGACGTGCGGGACGCTGAATTGCTTGGCGATTCCGAACTGGGCGGCAGCATGCAGCAGATTGCCTTCTACCAGCTCTTTGGCTCCGTCACATCTCAGCTCTTCGATGTGTCTGACCTTCGCGATGTATCGCTTCAGGCCTATGCCTGCATCGCATCGACGCCTGAGAGATATCACAGAGACACGACGAAAGTACTCGTCCACGAAGACCATATAGTATTGATAGCTATCGAGAACAGATCTTCGATGTGGTCCGGAGATGTCGCGATGCACTAGTTGACGCTTGCGTGTCGCCCTAGTGCCTGGTTCATTGTGCGGATTCTCTGTCATTTTACCCTTCAGGCACCCAACGTATTTGCAGTTGGATGGAGGGATGTCGAACACAGGCAGCCCTTCACCGAGGTGCCTGAAGGCTGCCTAAGCAGCAGCAGATCCATGTCACGGTGATTGAGGCGTGCTAGTCGCTTGTGTTGCCGGTCCGCTGCTCCTCGCCCTTGCTTGTGTCGCACCATAGGGCTTTTTAACACGTTGTCAGCTTTTTTGTGCCTTCACCGGTGTAGCATTCATGTATATTGTGTCTTTCTTGGCCGTCCCTCCCTCTATCCCAGTCTGTCTCCCTTCATGCATTTCTGCATGCCTCCCTTCCAATCGCCTTTTCGTACCTGCCACGCCCTGTGCCTGCCTTTTTTATTTTGGTGTCGCGCACGTCCCAAGTGGCAGGGCTCTTTTGCTGACAAATGACGGGGGGGAGGGGAAAGATCGAGACGAACAGAAGCTGACGTGTGAAAGAACCCGAAAAGGCATGAGAAACCCCATGCGTTTCTCCTCGATCGAGAAGCAAAGACAAGGCCCTCGGAGTGGTCCGGCCGAGGGCCGATAGCTAAGTAGACCCATTTAGGCCACTGTCTAGCTATCCTATGAGGGGTCCATTGGTGGGTTGGGGCGCTCGAGTACCGAAAAAAAGAGAAAGAGAAGAAAGGGCCGATAGCATACTGTGAAGAACAGTATTGCTGTCAAAGACAGTATTGCAGTGAGGCCCGTATTGTACAGTAATGCAGTGATGCAGTGATTTAACAGTGATGTCTCTTCGATGCTGTCTTTAACGAGAAACAACACTGCCAATCTTATCTTTGGCTGAGAGACCTAGAATGAAGATGCTCTCCGTCGGGCGCCTACCTCGTAGGCGGGAGGGATGCGCCCTCCTCCGCAGTTTCACAGGATAAAACGAGCGGGCCCTCTCAATGGTCATGTCTCGAAACACTGACTGGGCCATAGGAGGCTGCATACGGACACAAACAAACGAAACAGCCATGTGTGTACATGACATCAACAAAGACAAAGACGATTCATTCACTTGCATCGGGACGCCACCGAGGAGGCAAGGCACCTTCTGGCCATGCTGGAAGCTATACACGTCGAAAAGCTGCCCTGCAGACGCCCTAAATGCGGTGACTAATGGCGGCAAAAAGTCCAACACCTTCATTGCATCCGCAATCGGTCTCCGGCCGATGCTGTCTGCAATGACGGCTGGCCACATCACAGCCCAGCTCGTGTATTTCACAGCCCGATGCGTTGGATGGCCATCCATAATGCACAGGTGACGAGCGCCACAGCTGGTACTCGTCCACTCGTCCTGCCCGATGTCTTGCATCCTCTCGAAGCGACCGAGGAAACCACAGCGCGATTGCTGCCACATGCGATGCCGGAGAGCTGTTGCGAGTGGTGGTTGCTGAACGCCGCTGTCCTTGCGCTGTACGGCTTCGATAAGCCCGATATTGACTGAATTGAGGACACCGCCGACCTCTCGGGCATCCCGAGTCCTCGCACAACTGACACACCAGTGGACAAGTGCGGCAATTATGGCCAGGACGCCTACAATGCAGGCAACACGGCAAGGTCTGCCGGTGCCGGTCGGGGCCGTTGGCCCTCGAGACGGCTCCTTTTCAGGCTCTTCACGATCTTCAGCATCTTGGTCTGCCACATCGCTCTCAGGCTCGTGAGATTCGTTTAACCCCTCAGGCACAAAATCATCATCTGACTCGTGACGGTTGCCAGCGAGCAAATCGTCATCCGAGTCCAAGGAGCCGTCAACGAAATCATCCTCCATAACCAAGCACTGAATGAACATTCAGAGCCTCTGTCTTCTGCAACAATCAATGAGCCTCTGAAAGACGCCACACACAGACGCATCCACATCTGCAACGCACTGTCGTGTAGATTCCATCTCTACCTTGTGAATGGCAACGAGTGCCGATGGCCTCTCTAATCGATGTCCTGCGAACGCAGTACGACAAATCAATCACTGCAAAGATGGTCCCACGTAATTGTTCTGTGAGTCTGTGGCCTACGCAGATGCAGGCGCAGGCCGGACGTGCCTCCACGATGCGAAATCAATGAGAAGCTGAACTATTCTCTCAATCTTCTGGCGTATTTGATGGGCGACTGAGCTTCGGCGAGCCACAAGTCGTGCACACGAGAGCACAATGGTCACTGAAACACAGATCAATTTGAAGATCTCACTGATGTCGATATGTGGGGAGGCAGCACAATGGCAGCTTCGCGCCAAAGAAAGGCACGTCCCCGCATAGCGCAAAGCTGCCTCCCAACCGCCATCCTACGCACCATGCACTCATCTTCCTGCCTATCATCTTTCTTCTCTTCGTACGACCCCCTCCATTACTCGGGGGCCCCTCCCACCTCGAGAACCTGAGAATTGACTAATTTTAAGAGTGAGTGAAGGGACCGCACAGACGGCGCAGTCAGAAAATGTAACTGTCTCCTGAACGTGGTGAGGCGAACAATGCAATGTCGCCCCCTCCCCCTTGAATGGGGTGCAAGACCAGCTTCAATGGGTCAATGACCATAGGCAGAAGAGAACAGGCTAGGTGCTGTGACTCTGTGAAAAGTGCTGTACTGTTTGTCTACTCTCTTGGTGTTCGAATCACGCGCATTTCTCTTCTCCACTCGTGTGCATGGGATCGGTGACGCAGATATCTTTGTGGTAGCTCGTAGGATGTGAATCTGAGTACTGACAGGTCATGAGCAACTTCACATCTGAGTACTGACAGGTCATGAGTTGCTCTCAGACAGTGCTGTTGTAACTCCGTGTTTTGTGTCTGTGTCTGTGTCCGCGGGCCTTAAAAGGACTTTGGAGATCAGCCAGGAGGCCAGCTTAGGTAGCAGGCCTTTCGGGCAGTGACTTAGATACACTTGAAGGACGTGTGAAATAAAATGATACACGTCGCCCGTTCATGTATCTACCTCACGTAGGAGAGGATGGTCCGAGGTCTCCTCTCCCTCGCTTTGGTTTGCATCTTGTTCGCATGGAGGCTTATGGAGGAGGCTGCTGCAATCAGTGCCCCGGAGGCTGCTCGACGCAACACCGAGCAGCTGTTACCTGCTCTGCAAGCGATGGGATTAGACCCAGCAAAAGAAGTCAAAGCGAGAGGAGGAAAACTCAGGGGAGACCATGACACGACGATCCACAAAGACGCAGGGCTGTCGCCTAATTTGGCAACCTTGTGGAGAAATACCCCGTTTGTCTATGCTCACCCGCTCCCCAACGCTGTCCTCGTCTCGCCCTTCACAACCATCGGGTTCAGGTCGCAGGGTGGTATTAGGGAGGATACGATTCATGACAAGATTGAAGTTTCAGGGGACCTGTCGGGAGACCGGTCAAGTGGAGAGGCGCTTCTACTGGATGATGGACGCACTGTGCTCTTCAAGCCAATTGATATTTTCGCCCCTGGAGAGAGGGTGTTTGTGAGTGTCAAGGCTGGTATAGAGACGACGGAGGGAGATATCCTGCCTGCTGCTGCATGGAATTTCACGATGTCGTGGAGAAACCTGGATACCTACAGCGGACACAAGGCGGCGCAACCCCGAGTGGATAAGGGGCAAACGGACCCTGAGACTTTGGAATTGCTTAACGAGGCCACAGGCATGTATTGGCTGGATGGCATCTCGAAGAATGAGACATGGGATGAGTTGGAAACACAGACTGATGGCTTTCGTTGTAATGACGGCCTCAGTTGTGATGCTGACGGCAGGTTCGTTGCCCCCAACTCTGCTTATCGCACACTTCCGAAGGTGTACCCTCGCATGCACATAGCCCGGACGGGTGACTTGTCCCAGTTAGCGCCTGGGTACGTTTTCCTATGGAGTAGCCCCAATAATGGCATCATCATGACGTCCGAGGGCGATCCCGTCTTCGCCACGGAGAACAGCTTTCTACTCTTTTCACCAACGCCTCAGGGGCAGCTCGTCTTCAGTAGGGAAGGGCCGTTTATCCGTGTTGTTGGCCCTGATTACAAGGAGACGGCTTCGTTCTCTGCGCAGCACGGACAGGGCATCGATAGTCACGAATTTCAACTCACGAAGAATGGCAATGGCTTACTCTTCGGGTCAGTCCGTCCTGACTTGAGAAATATGATGAGCTTGACAGACTATCAGCCAGCACGCCTCTTGCCCCTCAGGTATGACTTGCAGCCGCTGGACACCACGAAAATTCGTCCGGACCTGCAGGATGGTGGTGAGGAAACATGGACTGTGGGCATTGTCATACAGGAGGTCTCACCGGCAAGTAAATAGAATATAGGCACTTGATTTGTAAGTTTCCGCATATGTCCTCTATAGACATACTCGTATGTGGTCTTTGAAGGTGACGTGGTGTTTGAGTGGAGGTCCTGGGATCACATACCGAGTGCCTTCTGGGAGACATCTTTCATTGCCCATAGGAGATATATAAAGCAGAAGAAGCATAAAGGCGGCTTTTGGGACCTAGGACGTACGTGAATGACATTCAATCTGTCCGTGTATGTTTGCGTCGTTCACGCGTATTGTGTGTATCAGATGCTAACTCTTTGGAGGAGACAGATGACAAGGGTATCATACTCTCTCTGCGAGCGCTCTCACAGGCAATTAAGATCAACCGGTACGTCAGTGTGTAGGTAGCACAGCACATATACATCGATCGGATTCATACTGCCTTTCGGATTACAGCGATACCGGCAAAATTGAGTGGCGGCTGGGAGGCGAAAGTGGGAACTTCAAAATTATCGACGATCCCAATGGCAGTTTCATGGGACAACACGACATAAGGGCTCTCGGTGGCAATCGAATCACCGTTTTTGACAATGCTGGCCAGAATCCTGATCAGGTCCCCATCAACTATCCCTCTTACAACAGCTCCCGTGCTGTTGACTACAAGCTTGAGTTTGACCGTCAGGGGCGTCCAACCGTGGCAGCGTTAGTGGGCTCGTATGAAATAGGTGTCAAGGCCCATTCATGGGGCAGCTACCGGCGCTTGCCGAATGGCAATCGAGTCATCGGCCCAGGTCGTGTGTTGGGGGGAAATTTCAATCCTATATACATCGAGGTCAAGCAAACAATGTGAAAAAAGAAACCGACAGGATCCCGCCTTGGATATTTCTCTGTGCAAAACGCAGACCAACGCAAAGAGTCAAGCCCTACTGACAATGCACTCAGGACGTCGTGCATATCGCGCCGTGAAGGCGGACTGGCACGGATTTCCCTCTTGGAAGCCCACAGCTCTCCTGGACAACAACAATCCAGACAAGACGGTTCGCTTGCACTTCAGCTGGAACGGGGCTACTGAAGTAAGCAAATGGCGGATACTGATTGGAGCCACAGACGAGCCGGCAGAGGTGCTGGAGGAGATGCCAAAGACACAGTTTGAACACTGGATCGACGTCCCTGGTTCAGCAAGCGAGCATTGCATGTACTTTCAAGCTGTGGCAATTGACGCAAAGGGAGAAGAGATGGATCGGTCGACTGTCGTTGCCTCAGCGGCCTGTACGTAAGTGAATGATGTAGGTGTCGTTCACTACACGTGCATCCTTGAGCGAACAAGGCATCTTTGATCAAAGAAGGTGGCTGACGGCATCACAGCTTGAGGAAAGTGCCGGCAGGGCCGTGCGTGTGATGTGAGGTGTGCATGTGTGACTTGGCATGGTGATAGCGTTGGCAGAGCCTGTTGTGTTCAGGGAATCCGTCTGCTGATGTTGCTTGCGCAGTCTGCGTACATGCAGAAGTGTGCTGGACTGTTCTCCTTCACAGCCAGAGTGTAGGTGTTCTGCTTCCCCTCTTTCGAAAGAGAACACTTGCCACATCACTTGTGTTCACGTAAATGTCACTCATGAGTTCTGTCCCAGGAATACGCAGTGTAGGTGGAGGGAAAATCCATCCCCTCCCCCACAAATTCGTGGAAGTACCTTTCCTTCCATGTTACGAACACAAACCACCACGAACAAGCCCTGTCTCACCCGGCCCTTTTGCGCAGTCAGCTCGTATCTTGACAAGCGCAGATCGGCGTCAAAAGCGGGACGACCAGGCATTGTCTGCAGTTGGTAGAGAGCACGACTCCTGCTCGCTGCTCCAGCAACAGCCGCGAGATATGCTGTTGCGACACAGAGCGACACAGTGAAGGCATACTGACCTGTTCTGCTGCGTGCGTAACTGACCATTCTTTTGGGTGGATGCCTCTGTAACCGCAATCAATCCTGCGCGACACACCTCAAGATACATGTGCGTCGTATACTCTCGTGTGGACTCACGCTCTATGCCTCGTGGTGTCTGTTTGCCTGCACGTATCGCCGGCATGAAAGCACCATGGCACTCCCACTTCGTCCGTTTCTCGCCAGCACGCACCTTGTGCCACACATTGTTCCCTCCGTATCCCTTTCCAACTGGCATTTGCCCGCCCCCTTCCCGACGCACACGCACCATTAGGTGCCCTCTGACGCGGCCTGAAGCACCATGGCACACCATCTTTACTGCTCGCTGCGGGGGGCCGGTAGCAGCAGCCGCGAGACTTGCACTCTTTGGCATCGAGAGAGGGTTTGTCCTCCGCGCAGTCTTCTTTTTCTGCGTCGTCCATGAGACACATGGCGCCCAGGCTGGAGCACCAGGGTGACAGTAAGGTGGCGCTCGTTCTGTTGACTCTGTGCTCTATGTCAATGGCCTCAACGCGATAATACAGACAGGAGTTGACCGGGGAGTGGCTACAGCACACAGCCATGGGAAGTAGATGGACAACACACACATAGGCCTAGGTGAGGCTTACGGTGTTTCCGCAAGTAGGATGGAGTGCTCGAATTGCTTCTTAGGGATAGAGGTGATGAGGTCCCTTGTTTCGGGATCCAAGCCACCATACACCTGCATGCAACAGCAGCAGGATACGATAGGATACTCCATGTTAGACGTATGTACGTACGGACCCTCCATTCATGGATGTGTGTGGCCCCGTTCCAACTGAAATGAAGGGAGGCATTCTTTTCGTCCATCACGAGCTGCGGTCTGGTCGACGGCACGCCCCACCAAGGGTACTTCATCGCACGATACGCCATCCCTGGACGTGAGCATACACGTGCATGCAAGGACATATAGACGTATCCGCACCGCAGATGCATGCGTACCTACCGGGTTCGACAGACAGCTCCAGCACCTTCTCCCCCCTCCGTGTGACCTCTGTGTAGAAGGGGTTCGTGTCGGGCTCAACGCCAGCAAAATTCACCACCAGATTGCCATTCTCGAGATACTACGAGACGCAAAGAGTAGCACCTCTCTTCGATGATGCCTGTTCTGAACTTACATCAAATCCGCCCATGGCGACTCCAAATCTGTCAGGATTGTCCCTATATTCCCAAATTTTCTTGGCCACCATTTTTTTCTGGTCAAGCTCGTACTCAACCGCCCGCGACCTGCAACCAAAGCGTACGAATGCATTCACATACACGTGTATGTTTTGACTTAACCAAGGCGGGCGCCTTTCGCTTCCGTTGTCGAAAACTGTCAGGATACCCCCTGCGTGTAGCCTGGCGTCGTGCTGCCACGAGGGGCCAGGGTCATCACCTTCAAAGCTGAAGTCGCTATCGATACCACCTGAACGCGCGCACGTCATTATTCAGACATGTAACATGTATGTGTGTACCCATACACGTCTGTACCCAGTTTCCACATGATGGCTCCCGTTTTCCTGTTGATTTTGATTATTTGTGAGAGGTGCCGGAGAGAGACCAGCACGTGGCCGTCGGGTGTCCACGCGACAGAATTTGCACTAAATTATGATAATGCACCCACAACAATTTCTCTCTTTCGTTTGACATACTGCAGTTGGTCAAAGAATCCTTCTCCGTCAAAGAATCCCTGTCCTGTCGTGTTCTGAATCTCCTGCATAGCGCCATGCATGTGGTCCTGACATGGGAGAGACGATAGTAAACACGCCATTTTCAGTCTTGTTTTAGCCACAAGTTTATCATCTCTCGTCATCCCACCCAGCCATTCCACTGCCACACGAGGTTGTCTTCGTCATCGAGTTCCTGCACAGCGGCAGACACATGCAACGCAGCGTTGGTCAGATTCGTAGCTCACCTGCACTACGAATCCCAGAACATTAGTGACCTGCGTCCCGCGCCACAGGAAATTCACGTTCCCGCGGTGGTCGTAGGCCAAGAGCAATACCTGCATGCAGCCAGCGAGACGGACGTGTCTTGCACTGCGTACTCACGGGTAGGCGTCGCAGTACGTGTTGTTGCGACGCGTTACATGGTTATCTTCTCGTATTTTCATGTCGTGGTCGTTGGTGATGTATCCGTTCTTGGGCCGGATGTGACGCACCTCCTCGTACGAATGGTCCAACACAGACCACCCACCTGTATACACATGTGCGTCTATGCAAATAGATAAAACGTGGGCGCTTGTGCGTACCTGTGGCAGATATGTACGACAGCAGTCCATTATCCTGAACTTTGAAATCTCGTGTGGACCAGCCGTTCCACCCGTCATTAGCATTTGGGAACCGGTCAAACCTACAGCACACGCAGAGAGGGATGATAAGTAAAAAGACGGGGCGGGGCCTTCATGTCGCGCTCTCACCATATTGGCTCTCCATTTTCGTCTATGATCAGAAGGTACTGGTGCACCGATACGTCCGGGTGGCGGAGAGGGGCAACCACGATGAAACTGAAGATGAATCAGCGTCGTCGCGTCTCTGCGTGATAGGCAAGCAGCGCTATTACCCGTCGGCCGTCTTCCCCTTGACTGGCGGCACCAACACATCGACAGCCGGATAGTCCTCAGGGAGCGTTTTGTAGGCCTTGATGACCCTCTGCTTGGCGGTTGCTGTCGAATTCTCGGGCAGGGATGACCAATAGACCCCTGGAAAGAGAAATAAACCAGAGTGACTGCACCGCCTTCTTCCTTTTCCTACCCAGCTCGCGTCTGGCATCACGATGCTTGAAGTCCGTCAGAAGTCTGTTCTTTTCATCTTCGCCCGCGCCACCGATGCGGGCTTCCATCATGCTCCGAGTGGATGCCAGCTCTCTCATGGCGCGGAAATAGTGTACAGCTGTCCTTCTTGACGCGATGGTGAATCGCCACGAGAAGGCACCCAGCACTTCCCGCTCACCACCATGCTGCTGGTCGATTGGCACGAGAGTAATGCCTTCCTTCACAGAGACTGTGACCCGCTCACCGGGGACAAAGGCACCCCCTACGTCAAATACAATCGTCACATTGTCCCGGCTGATGGTCGTCAAGGCCTCCCTGATGCCACTTTGCTCTCCTTCAATCACCACTTCAACTGACTCTCTGACCACTTGCTGTAGCGGTCCTTGGTCGTTCCAGAGCAGCGCACCAGGTCGCATAATAATGGAGGTGAAGGGCGAGACAAATGACTCCTCCGGTTGTGGGTGGATATAGGCGAAATGGGACGCGATCCTGGCATCTTCAGAATAGCCGCGGAGGATATTCTCCTGGTTTCGTCCGCAGACGAAGGAGGGGCTGATCATGAAAATCGCCCAGACAAGGACGCAGCTCTGTCGTGTTTTACACATATACGATGAGAAAAAAAAGCGCGCTGATTAGCGACTTTTCCTACTATTTTGTTCCAACACTCATCAATGTCTCAGAAACAGGCGATGACGTATTTTGCGTGAATCCAGGGAGAGCGGATAAAAAGGACTCAGTCATGAGCGGTGCAACTGGTCCAGAAGCCGAGAATCGGCCGTTTTTGATGAGTGATTGGAGTGACGGCACATGAGAGCAGATGTTCACGAGGACAACGCAATGTCGCTCCCTCCCCCTTCAATGCAGGAGGGGGCTGCAGAAGGTCAGGTTCCATGAGTCAATAGTCACAGGCAGGAAAGAGAACGCCGACCACAGACCCACACAACCAAATGGGCGCCTGAAGACTCGCTGTGACGGCGGAGGGGGAAGATCAAGACACAGTCTCACATTCCTTCAACTACATACAATTCACAGCTTCATCATTGCACGCGGGAAGCCTCCGACTGTGTTGTCAAACCTAGACGCAAACCGCGATACGACCCATCGCCTGCTAGGTTGGGGAGCTGTCAGAGGACTCGCTGTGTTGGGGGGAGGGGAAGACAGACAAAGCGGTGCCTTGCACGTGCGAGTACTGTACGCACGAGAAAGCAGTAATTCACCTATGCTTACTGCTCGATCGCCCATAAGGATATGTGAGAGATCGGTCATTTCTCCTCAACGACCGCATTGTTCGACAATCCGCCTTATTCATGAGTTGAGACATGCGTGCCAGAACATTGTGATTATATTTCCACGCAGTTTTGTTTTGGTTGAGGGGAGAAGCGAAGTTCGCCCTGGAATACGAGGCTCGCCGCAGGCTCGTGCAGGCTCGCCCTACGATCGCCGAGCGTCGCAGTAGAGAATGAAGAAGGAAGGAGGAGAAGGGACGTGACGCAGGGAGAGCGAGCTTGCGGAGGTTCGGGGCAGGTGGGTGGGAGTGTGGTGTGGTGACGCCCCCCCACTACCAAATTTTTCTGCCGTGTCTCTGCGTTATCATGACGGACCGATGCGTGATTGACCTGGATATATCAATGCATTCGTTGCGTTGGT